AATTAACAACGACTACAGGGTGCGCCAAAATTACGGAGACAGCGACTTCGAGTTGCCTAGGATGAGCAAGGTGCAATTCTTTGAAAACAAAAATGCAGTGACGTGCACAGTCCCATTCTGAATCGTCGACATCCATGCAATTTTTGAAATTCCTTGGTTTGTGTTTATACGGGTCCTCAGAAACATCGAGGAACCATCGACTGTGGCACGCAATGTGGCGAGTAGGACTCGTCAAGCTCATTTTAGAGCGGTTTCTTCAACGAATCCCTAGACATAATGTGTTTTATGCAAGCCTCAGCTTCTAGAACGGATCCGACAGCGTACCCTATCGAGCTCAGATCTGAAATGCTGTTCTACCACCGTTTAAGCCGACAAAGTCGAAAAAATCGGTTCTGCATCAATGCTGCACTAGTACTGAACCACCCTTGCCTCGTAAACGGGAGCTCCTACTTGATGGAAGGCCCAGCAACGATTTTCAAAGTGAAAATAAACTCAGGATAGCAATGGGCTCTGATAAGTCCAAAAGAGCCCCCCTGATTCCTATCTCTCGTGACATCCAGTGAAACCAGCGCGTCAACTACCTGCAAATTCTATCGCACACAATCCTTAGATTGTTCGTGGTCGCCACAGAAACACGCCCTTCTCATCCAGAATGACTGCATTCAGCTCCTTGTCCCCTGTACCACTTGGAGCATCTATTGATAGTGCTCGGGTATACACCAAAACGATGATAATTGTCGCGTGCCAAAAACCCTCAACGTCGAAGTCCAATGATTTAGGGACGGTGTCAGTATCAGTCAACCGCTGCAGCTACCATAGATTTTGGTGGTTGAACAAGGTAAGCATAAACAATTCTACACCACAGTACCAAAACTAGGACAGAAGAAAACAGCATCTGTGAATATCAGTTCAAATTGTTTGCTCATGCGTTGTCTCCGTAATTTTGGCGCACCCTGTACTTCGGAAATGTCATGTGAATAAACGCATCACACGAAAGTGTAGTACAAGCTGTGATTATGGCGGGGTCGCCTGGGTTCGATCCAATGCCCCTAGCGAATGAGAAACGCCCTACCAGCCCCCAGCGCGCTTCCTCAGTCGGGCCACCACGCGGAACGCGCCTCTCAAGTAGAGTGCGGTTGCCATCAATAAGGCTCTGCTCGCCGCTTGTGCAGCGCCAAACCAATTAGGCTTATGGTCCAGCTCAAACTACCGGCAGAAGCTTCTAGGAAAAAGCAAGATATTTCGTTGCAGCGACTAGAAGCGGACTACTGCCAATCTTGTAGTTTGTCGACTAACCGTCCCTCTCCGAGGAAGAGCATCGCCAACGCTCGATGTACGGACATCTCTTCATGAAATTTCCACGGATGGTGAGACCAATAGGACAGCTCGTAGTCATGCGATCGACGATAACGGGCAAATCGTATTGTCTCTATCTTTCCGCGCCCAACATTCAGCTGAAATAGTGTCTTTGAGAAGGAGTTGAGCCAAAGAACTGAAAGCAGGGTCAAATGTGATGCTTGAAAAATTGAAAGAAATACAGTCCACAGAGCCAATACAACTCCACCCCCCCCCCCCCCTCCACCATGACTATCACAAACGTGGCTGAAGTGGTCGAATGGCGATCGTGATTGTGCTATTGTATTATGGTTGTGAATCCAGTGGGGTTATTTAGATCTGCTGTTATCGAGAATTTCATTTTCTATAGGAAAACAACAATCGTATGTTTTTAAGTGGAAAATCTTCTATATTGTTAGTTTAGAAGAAATGTTGCATTCTTGACGGAAAGACTGGTAAGAAGGATATAAGTAGGGGGGGGGGCGTGACAGCCGTACAGTAGTCGAGCTTGGCAAGCAAGCCAGCAAAAGGAGGTGCAACTATCGAGAACGTGCAAGACTAATGTGTAGCTGATGATTTATGTAGAATTTCGTGTTTGTCGCCGGAAAAATTATTAAAATTTGTGTAAAGTTGTTTAACTGAATCAAGTTGAGGTTATTCGTGCGTGAATCAAACTGTGATCTATCATCGCGTGACACTCCGTTAGTGGCGTGACTCCGGGATAATTTCCAACATAAACCACTTAAATAGTTTAAGGACTCAAGCTTACTATAGCCATGCTCAAAAGCATCATATCCGCGCACAGGTTCACGACGCTTCTGTTTGCAGCTCGTATCATATGTCTTGCTGGCCAGTCAATGCTTTCTATATTGAAATCGTGCATCAAAAACTGCATTCTCTCCTCCTGAAAAGGTCTGGTATCATCTCTAACATGATCAGAAGAAAAACAAAATCCAAAAAAAAACCATGGGATCAATTTTTACCAAAATTTTTTAGAACATTCTCCTGTTTTTCTCCTATCGTGCCGCTGTACTTGAGCGCCATTGCGAAGCACGCAGCCGTCATCGCATAAAGGTAGACCTGCAAAGTTTTACATGAAAATTCGAAAAAAAGAACTTTATAACATAGAAATTTTAAGAAAAAAGGATTCTACGAAATTCACAAGTGTTGAGCAACTCTAAAAGGAGTAATTCGATTAGACAAAAAAAAATGCACAAGTCTCCAGAAAGATGAGTATACACCTCCGCGACTGTCTCCCTATCCACAACTTCGTCCCAGTAGGCCATTTCCTTGTCAGTGATATCCACCTCGACTTTTGAAGGGAACTTCAGCACCGTTTGAGCGTATTCGTGAATAATGCTCGGAATCTGAACACTGTAGAACTAGAAGCACAAATATAACGAGAGGACGGTGCAATTAGAGGCGCTGTACACTACCAGCACGCTTTGCGAACGAATCTAGTCGGACACAATCATGGCTTTTACCACTTGGAGTTTTTTGGGATAACCAAAAGAGTCTGAGGATGTAAGAATCGCGCTAAAAAACAGATTGCCTATACAGACTATTGTGACCAGGCCACAAATGCACTCAGCTGGCTCCATGATTCCAGGATTCCATAGCGCGACGATTGAAACGGTAGCTCCCAGTGTCTTTATTCGGCAATAATTGCGAGCAGGCATAAATGCACATTTCATCCAACATAACCTAGTAAAAAAAATATCATACCTGCTCCTCAATCCACTTACACGTTGGTTGTATCTTGTCCCAGAGCACTAGAGATCGAGATAGAACCCTAACGAAACTGAAAAAGAAAAACGATTACAAATGAAATTGGCAAGAATGGTGCTTGAAAAGGAAGGAGGGAAGGATGAAAGCAAAGGCGGCATGAAGTGCAGATGAAGACTGAGAATGCTAATGACATAAGTACATAGGCTGCTGAGTCTGTACTGTCTGTCTAGAGAATCTCACCCCTGTTCTCTTTTGAGTTGCTCAGATAAAGCCAGGTAAAATTGAAGAAAATCATTAACTTGCACTGACCACGTCAGGCCGAATTTCCTCCAGCATCGATATCGTGGCAGGTAACTCCAGTTCTCTCGCAATCGCCGTGTTACCCGTTCGCATGTACATCAATCCTAGGGCAATGGTGGCTGGATGAGCTGTCATGTGTACGTTCACGTTCGGGCCCTCCTATGATAGTCTCGCTATTGTAAACCCGTTCAATTCACGGTTCAGCTGGCAGTAAACGAGCAATTTAACAGAAAACACCTAGAAAGAAACAGATAAGATGTTTGATTGTCGGGGTTTGAAGGCATGCCCCAGGATCAAATTGGTGTGGTTCTTGCATACGAATCCTAATGTATTGGCGCGAAATGGCCGGTGAAGAAAAAAGGAAAAAATCCGTCGAAAAGCGCTTAGGTTAAAGAGGCAAAGTTCGGGCTCAGACCCACCTAAGAAGCCCTTACCATGGCTAGAAGTGCTGGGTACGCAAGTGCAAAGGTAGCGCCACCTTTCTACATCGAAACGCGTCACTAGGACCCTAGGCGCCATGGACTTCTAACAGACTCCACCAAACTTAACATGGTCCGCCCACCGTTCGATATCTTGTCTGCGTCGCTGCGTTGATCTGCTATGCTCTCTCTTCTCGGACTTCTCTCTACCGCTCTCCGCGCTCACATTATCTCTCATCTCCCTGCCTGTCTTTTGAACTTCTCCACAGCATGGAAGCAAAATGCTCGTATTTCCTGTGTATTTCAGGATTTTCTTTCCTTTTTTCTCCACTGGCGGTCCACCTCTCATCCCTACTTTCACATTGAGTGGAACCATCCCATCAATTTAATCCTGACTCTTGCCTTTAAGGGCTCACTCACCTTCGTAATGACCTGTTCTAAGGGAGTGGAGACTAGGGGCCGTATGCTATGCTTTCGGGGAAGGGGAAGAGTTCTGCTTCGGGGAAAATCCCCGAAGCAGACGTCCCCGAAGCAGGGCGTATGCTATGCTCCCGAAATTCATTCGGGGAGAGAAGACGCAGAGCTTATAGAGCGCGAAATTCGAATGACCTTAAAGCCACGCATACAATTGCGTTTAACAAGTGAATACCTGTTAGCTGCGTTCAGTTTTATTATTCGATCGAGACACAATAAGGGATACTATGTGAGGATAAATCCATATTATTTATGAATACAAATTTTGTGGAGAGGTATCGTGGTACAACAGTTCTCCCCTACCGCAGTAATCACATTTCTACAGACGGAGGGAGCTCGAGGGTGGGTACTTGTGCAAGCGGGGAAATGAATGAGCACGGAAATGAGAATATTGTCATGGTTCCGAATACTTTAGGTGCACTGCGCCGACCCTTCTTTATACTATGTTCTACTCACAATATGACTGATCGTTTTTTTTTCTGAAAGGTTATTTCTTCTTTAAATCCATTTCAGTGCTTTATTCTATCGTTTGATAATACCAAGAACGTGTTTTTCCCGATTATGAACTGCAATTTTATCAATTTCCCTACCGCTCGCTTTGTGACCCTAATTTCTAGTACGCCCATGAACGTAAGGATCAGAAGAGGAGCTGTATAACTGTAATACTCAATTGACAGCAGATATTCCAACAACACAGTACTCTACTTACAAAATCAGTAAATAAATGCAATCTCTATCCTATCTAAACATGATGCGTAGTGAACAGGTGCGCATGAATTTGTATATTGCACAAGACGCATGCACCTTTTTTTCAGCGCAGGATCCTAGTTTTTTGGAGTGGAACATGGTTCTTGATTTTTACAGAATTTTCCCTCTATCCATAGCGCTGAACCAGTATTAGCAGCTGTTATCACAGCCATGGACATATGATCCATTGCATCTTGCGCAGACACCAACGACGCCACCGATGCTTTGCAGCATAATCCTCTTTACGCTTCAATGAAGCGCAGCTTCAGGATAATATGTAATTCCCATAAGAAAATAATGTGCTCCAGCGAAAATAGTGCGCGCCGCGGCGACTACTCTAGCCTTCGGGGATGCTTCCCCCAACGATAATGGTAGGGGGACGCGTCCCCGAAGCTCGGTGGGCGTGGCCTCTCCCCGAATGAGCTTCGGGGACGGATAGCATACGACTTAGGGGACGCATCCCCTTCCCCGAAAGCATAGCATACGGCCTAAGCGTGGAGAGGAGAGTGTGAGGCGAGAGAGCGCAACAGATGAGAGGGTGCCAGGCAACAGTATGGTAAAAGGAAAAAATTGCAGATGTAGGAGCTCACTTTGCAAGGCCCCAGCGCTCTTGTCGGTCGATTTCTGTGGGCACGGGAATGTGCGGACATTTGTGATTGCCTTCTAGAATCTATCCAGCAGAACTGAAGAGTCGTCACAACGACCTTAATGCATGGTTTGTGCCTTTCGTTTTACAATGTTTCAGGGCTTATTATTACGCTTCTTCACGGGTGGTTGATTGTCATGCATGTTCACTTTTTGCCTGCTAACTCAAGCTAGGATTCACAGGAAATGTAGGCCAAAGGCAAATGGCAAGTTAGGCTGAAATAAGGGGATTAAAAGACGGAAAGATTCGAGAATAAACCTCAGCACAGCCATAGCCTTATTTGGTATATGTATTCACTTTTGTGTAGAATGTTTGAACACATCGGAAGTGCTCACCCTGACATGATTCGAGCGGCTTTCTTGCGGTGGAGTAGGAGTTGCAGTATTGACGTCCGGACAGGTGATTAGTTGGGGATGTATAAATACGCACTGGTTTCTGAAAACGCCAAAAAAAAAAGATACTTTGGAGGCTCATCACAACCCACATAGTGAACACAGCTGAGAGCCATGTAAGTCGCTAGCCTCTATAAGTATCTCACATGACCATCTTTGCGCGCGTTCCGTTATCTGACTTTTCCTCATTTTTTACGTAGGAAGCCGTGCCCCAACAGCAATATTAGTTTACTCATTCATGCGATGATCACTATCTTTCACTCCCTTTACTCTGGCTTTTTATGAACTAGCGCCACCCCACATTAGCAGGGTGAAAATCGTGTCGAGTACGTGGTCGCAGAAGTACGACCCCCCCCCCCCCCGAAACCCGAAATGAGATCCTGGCACGACCCCCTCTAACAGAGCAAATAATTAAATTAATCAAAATAAATCCTGCAAAACAAATCAAAAAAAATCCTGCAAAATAATGTTATGGACGCCTCATCTTGTCATCTATGCACTGTCTTTCATCGCTGCACACTTTTGTGTATTTACTGAAATATCGACTCGAGGAAAGAGGCATTAACTTTGTGTGACCTCAAAGTCAGGTTCGTTCAGAAATGCACAGAAATCCTGAAGGCACGGGGTTGCGATTTAATCTTGATTCCTGCTTGAGTATATCGAAACAGCCGAGTGTATCATCAAGGCCGATTCAACGGCAGCTGCGGCGCGATTGTCACTGGGTCAGATTTGCTGAAAATCCCGAAAAAAAAACCGTCGAATCTACACCCTCGATGAAAAGGTTGCATTCCTCCATTTCATAACCTTTGAAGCAGTTTGAGGTAGGTTAGATAGAGCTGGATTTCGCGTTTCCAAGAAGTATTGAAATTGCTCTGAAAGTCTTCGATGCAGAAGGATAGGGTCTCTCAAATTTCGTCGAGTAAATGTCGAGGACGCGGAAATTTTCACGCAAGTTTTTGCCACTTCAAGAGCAATCTTTCTCTAATGTCGTAAGGTCCTGAAAAAGGGAAGATAGTTTTGGAAAGCGGAAGGTTTGCGCTTCTTAACCGTCTGTTTCGCTTTTTTCTAGAGCTTCTGGTTGGAGAGATAATTGCGTCGAGGATCTATCGAGGACGGATCCGGCCACCTAAAAACCGCTCCCTCCTTAGAGGAATAACCTTTGATGCCTGCTGAATGATAAGGCTTCTCCAGTTGACTCAGTGGTGTTTTGTTGAAAACCTGGGCGGTATCGCTAGATAAGGGGCAATGTGATGGCGATGCATTCAAAATCGCTCAAAATATCTCCTTGTTGGTAAAAACAGGACTAAGCTAAAGCGGAGAGGGGAGTCCGAGGTGCGTGAGCGATTTTCGTTTTCCTCGAAGTACCTGCCTTCTCCTAGGCTTATGCAGTCCCAGAATGCCCCTGAATCTTGTGATGGCGCCCAAACTTGTAGAGACTCACATACTGTAACTTGCGTATGCCCAGATATCATGCAAGCTCTTTGCGGCAAGTCTGTCAGCCTTGTGGAAGTTCTGCTCGGTCGATGATCTTATCGTTACTCGCTATTTGTTAAGCTCCCGCTGCCCTGTTGGAGTACAATAGTACTTCTTCGTGAAATACTCAGGTTCTATTGACTTTATTAAGGTATGGTTTCAAAAATGACAACTTATCGATAGCTCTTCTGGTGATCTCGATGTATCCGATTATTGCCCATAATGTTGCTGATAACAGGTAATAATTACTTCACGAGCCTGCTCACTGCTGGCACTGTTAATGAAAGATTTCTAAAAAATCTCATTCATGAAATCTAGGCTCTATCATCAACCTCTGCGTTTTCTGTGGACTCATGCCGTAGAGCCACGCCTTTTTGTACCAATGTGCCGAAAGAAAAACAAACCGATTCAGTGTGATCTTAGAATAGGCTTTAAGGTAAGTAAACTACATGATTAAAGAAATCCAATGCAGATTAATTCCCTCAAGCAAAGCCATATGTAGGTACTCAAGAAATGTTCGTTCAGGATCCATCTTGTTCCCCATGTTTCTGTACTGCACCGATGATGCTGCCACCTATCGAAGATTTGGCCTCAGTAGCGCTGATAGGTCCTGGTGTTGAAGAAGTGCACTTCGATCTCACAAACGAGGACCGAAAGCGTGATTTTATGGAGATTCTCACCACGGGTCACGGTCGTGTGCCGGTTACTGTGACGGAAAGGTAAGGAATAGGATTCAACAGTCTGCCGAGGTGAAGGTGAATGAGCCAGTGAGACTGTGGTGAGACAGGAGCTAGACCTGGCAAGGTGAGCTTGCGGAGGTTTGGCAGGTGGCAGTGGATACCCATTCCGCGATAGAAATGAATGTAAATGTTTTTGGGTTATCTGTTGTGCTCTCTGGTTGAGTTCGTTGGTTTTGAGGACATGTCAGGCAATAGGTTCATGGTAAGTAAGAGGACACGGCCCAAGTTAATGGACTTGATGGGTGTTCCGCCGTTTTTGCTAGGTCGTGGGCTCCCTTTTGCGGATGTTGCACTCATTCCTGTGGGAATTCTCCACGAGAAATATTTTGACATATCAACATCCCATCGGACCCTATAATCTATATGGACCCCATTGGAGCTTGAAAATAGAAGCCAAAGAAACAGGTAACAGGAGTTTCTTTAGTGAAAGGTGGTACCATACGCCATGTTACTACGGTTTAATAGGAGTTCTTAAGTGAAAAAGTGCCAACACAACATGTACACGCCCCTACTTGCTTCTACCAGTCAGCACAATTATCGCAGTCCCACTCATGTTTTTTTGTGGTTTCTGCGTCACTCTCAGCATATAGTGCGCAAAAGATTTTCTGTAAGTTATCGTCTTCTAGACGGAAATGTTTGCATCCTGGATGTTATGCAATTTTCTAGACGGAATAGACCCGTACATTAGATAAAGAAATGCTGTACACCTCTACCTAAAAAAGGACCGAGGGCCGTGGGCGAAGTAGCATCATAGCAATGCTACCTATAAATACGATCCTGACATTGGCCAATAAACAGCTACTATTGATGTCTTATTCTCACGGATAAGGAGTTTAATGTTGTGGAAAGGAACAGCCTTGAGAAAAGTGGGAGGGAAGTAACAAGAGAACAAACAAGCAATACACTGATAGGCCCTGTTTTTTTTAATTGTGGCGTAGGAGCCTTGGAGGGTGCAAACGATCGGAACGTGCAAGGGGACGGTTGTGATCGCTACGAGGTTTGGATTCTTAACAAGATTGAGCCGAGGGCAACACAGCGGAGAAGTGAGCAATGATGAGCTTAGCGCACATATGTTTCCTTGCAAAAGGAGCATTTTTGGTGTCGCGCAGGAGACAACTATAATGTAAATTGTGTTTGTAGTATAGCAAGTATTTATAGAAGTTGCAATGTCTATTCCGTTGGCGCTGCCCCCAATAAAGTGCACTATTGAATTACAAAGCACAGTAAGGAGCATATACGTCTTTCGACCTTGCGTGTAAGGAGAAGTTGTCCCTCGTGGAAGTAAGCTTGCACGCGGCTCATCAGGCGCTTACAAAATTGTGCACGATCCTGTTGCCTCTAAAGGCTTTCAGTAATCGCTGAATGAGACATTCCTGGGGGAAATTGGAAAATACGAAATCTAGTCCTATTCAGTGAGCTTTAGTTGACACTTAAGGCAGATGGCCGCCTACAGCGGTGTGATTAATGAAGCAGATGACTTGCGAATGTACACTCTCCGGTGTTTCCACTACCTACGATCGTGATGGACCCCAACGCTCCGTGCTAGTGGGTGTAAGCGGTTTAGGTTAACGTGAAGAGTTATTGTTTTAACTCGACCACGCGTTCTATATCATCTCATTTTAAGACCACCTTTTATTAGATGGAGGAGGCCTGTGCCTATATCGACGAGTCTTAATCGTTCCGGATAACTCTATCTTCAATACTGCGACATATTTGACACATTTTCACTTCAATCAGTGACCCCATCCCATTCACAAATACAACATACCGGAGGTACGACGTCTCCTTCCCCTCCAAAAACATTAAAGCAACAGTCCCAGCAGGGTGGGCGTGGTCGCAAACGGCTGGGCTCAATCCTCGCAGATCCGACTCGGAGCCCCTAGTCAATAACGTAGAAGTGGACTGAAGAAAACTTCAGTTCGAACAGCCGCTAGCAGGGCGAAATGGGCCTTGCGTCGAGTCCTCGTTCTGAATATCGTGCGGCAGGGATGAAGGTATGTGTCATGTTACGTATCTTGGAGCCATGAGCAGACAGCTTGCTCTTCCTCTCTGAATTGGAAATGCTTGCTATGTATAGAAACGTCTATGATACGTATGACTACATTACGGACTCTCGGTGGAACTCTTTATATGAAATGAGAGTGTACGTTCATTGTGAGCATGGATGACAAGATAAGAACGGCCTCAGCAGAAGAAGAGAGGCCCTTAGACAGATATTTCGGATCATCGATTGACTCGCGGAGATGCACTAGTAGCGCCGTCTGTAAAGACGAAGGAGGTGTCAAAAGGATTGGGCGGATGAATTGTATGAAAATTGTAAAGTATCAAGTTATGCAGCATTGTTTCAAGGAATCCTTCCATGAAAGAGTTCATGTGATTTCTATTTCGAACCAAAATCCTAGTCGTCTAAAATTGGTTGACGGTACGACTGAGAAACCTTACGATGCCTTATGACCAAAATAGGCATGATACGAGAAAGCAGGGTATCAAAATATAATGAAGATGTGGCTGACGGTGAGTCATATGATGTTCTGGCTGGTACACAACAAAATTCTCTCCGATGAGGAAAAATCGAGTGCATACGAGAACAGCTAGCCGATTTGGATCTATTCAAACAGCTTCCTGCTGTATAACATACTTGTCAAAATGATCTGAAAGACAGTGAAAAGCTATACTAGGTTAAGTGCAAAAATATCGGATCATTCTTACCAAAAATTTTCAGAACATTCTCCTGTTTTTCTCCTATCGTGCCGCTGTACTTGAGCGCCATTGCGAAGCACGCAGCCGTCATCGCATAAAGGTAGACCTGCAAAGTTTTACATGAAAATTCGAAAAAAAGAACTTTATAACATAGAAATTTTAAAGAAAGATCTAGATTCACATGTGAGCACTCTAAAATGTGAGCTAGTTGATTGAGAATAAACTGCACCATATACTCTGTAGAACGCGATGAGTTATAAACCTTCGCGACTGTATCCACAACTTCGTCCCAGTAGGCCATTTCCTTGTCAGTGATATCCACCTCGACTTTTGAAGGGAACTTCAGCACCGTTTGAGCGTATTCGTGAATAATGCTCGGAATCTGAACACTGTAGAACTAGAAGCACAAATATAACGAGAGGACGGTGCAAATTAGAGCGCTGTACACTACCAGCACGCTTTGCGAACGAATCTAGTCGGACACAATCACGGCTTTTTAACTTGGAGTTTTGAGCAGATTGCCTATACAGACTATTGTGACCAGGCCACAAATGCACTCAGCTGGCTCCATGATTCCAGGATTCCATAGCGCGACGATTGGAAAGGTACTAGTGTCTTTATATTCGGCAATAATTGTGAGCAGGCATAAATGCACATTTCATCCAACATAACTTAGTATAAAAAATAAAATATCATACCTGCTCCTCAATCCATTTACACGTTGGTTGTATCTTGTCCCAGAGCACTAGAGATCGAGATAGAACCCTAACGAAAACCTGAAAAGAAAAACGAATAACAAATGAATTGCAAGAATGGTGCTTGAAAAGGAAGGGAGGGAGATGAAAAGAAAAAGAGGCAGACGAATGAAGGCAGATGAAGATTGAATTACTGAAGTGAAATAGCTGCTGAAGTCAGCTACTGTCCTGTCTAGAGAAATCCTACCCTGTTCTCTTTTGAGTTGCTCAGATAAAGCCAGGTAAAATTGAAGAAAATCATTAACTTGCACTGACCACGTCAGGCCGAATTTCCTCCAGCATCGATATCGTGGCAGGTAACTCCAGTTCTCTCGCAATCGCCGTGTTACCCGTTCGCTGTCTCATCCTAGGGCAATGGTGGTCGATTGAGCGTCATGTGTAGGCGTCACGTTCGGCCTCTGTGATATGTCTCGCTATGTGAACCCGTTCAATTTATTCAGCTGTGAAGTAAATACAATTTAACAGAAAAAACCTAGGAAGAAACAGATAAGATGTTTGATTGCAACGGGTTTTAGGCATGCCCCAGGATCAAATTGGTGTGGTTCTTGCATACGAATTCTAATGTTATTGGCGCGAAATGGGCCGGTGAAGAAAAAAAAAAGGAAAAGAATTCGTCGAAAACGCGTCACTAGGACCCTAGGCGCCATGGACTTCTAACAGACTCCACCAAACTTAACATGGTCCGCCCACCGTTCGATATCTTGTCTGCGTCGCCACGTTGATCTGCTATGCTCTCTCTTCTCGGACTTCTCTACCGCTCTCCGCGCTCACATTATCTCTCATCTCCCTGCCTGTCTTTTGAACTTCTCCACAGCATAGAGCAAAATGCTCGTATTTCCTGTGTATTTCAGGATTTTTTTTCCTTTTTTCTCCACTGGCGGTCCACCTCCCACCCCTACTTTCACATTTGAGTGGAATCACCCATCAATTTAATCCTGATTCTTGCCTTTAAGGGCTCACTCAGCTTCGTAATGACTGTGCTAAGCGTGGAGAGGAAGTGTGAGGCAAGAGGCGCCGATGAGAGTGCCAGACAACAGTATGATAAAGGAAAAAATTGCGCTGCAGGAACCTATACTTCTGTTTCATGCAGCCAGAAACCCACGTGGCACACGTGGCTAAATTCTCGAATGAAAAGGGACATCGCGTGTGCTCAGAGATGTTCTCTGATTCGATGCCACGTTAATGCCACGTCAATTTCTGCAATTGCACAATTTCTGGTTATTTGAAGCGAGGGTATTTGCAAGGCCCTAGCGCTCTTGTCGGTCGATTTCTGTGCACGGGAATGTCACATTTGTGATTGTCTTCTAGGAATGTATCCCACAGACTGAAGAGATCGTTCACACGACTTCTGCATGGGTTGTGCCTTTCGTTTTAGCAATTTTTCAGGGCTGATTGGCCTTCTTCACGGCTGGTTGATTGTCATGCATGTTCACTTTTTGCCTGCTAACTCAACCTAGGCTTCACAGGAAATGTAGGCTAAAGGCAAATGGCAAGTTAGGCTGAAATAAGGGGATTAAAAGACGGAAAGATTCGAAGAATAAACCTCAGCACAGCCATAGCCTTATTTGGTATATGTATTCACTTTTGTGTAGAATGTTTGAACACATCGGAAGTGCTCACCCTGACATGATTCGAGCGGCTTTCTTGCGGTGGAGTAGGAGTTGCAGTATTGACGTCCGGACAGGTGATTAGTTGGGGATGTATAAATACGCACTGGTTCTGAAAACGCGAAAAAAGATATTTGGGAGGCTCACAACACCCACATAGTGAACACAGCTGAAACTATGTAGCAGCTAGCCTCTATAAGTAATCTCACTGCCATCTTGCGGCGTTCCTTATCTGACTTTCCTCATTTTTTTAATTTATTACGTAGGAAGCCGTGCCCCAACAGCAATATTTGTTTACTCATTCATGCGATGATCACTATCTTTCACTCCCTTTACTCTGGCTTTTTATGGACTAGCGCCCATCCCACATTAAGAAGCATCCCTCACGTGGTCCTCCATGGGGTCAACCGCAGTGGAGAACTTCCAAAATGGCTGGAGTTAAGGAATGGGAAGGGTGGAGAAGCTCGTGTTTCATAATAACTTGATGTATTCCGCAAGATGGGCCGATCCATCTGAACCTTTTGCAATATGGAACCCTACTCAATAAATACCAGAATTTTTCAACCGAAGGCACGGCTCGCGTTCATATCCTTGAAACACTCCCTCCACTTGTGTGGTAACAAGGTTCTTGAGCACAGAAGCCGTGCCATTGTCGTGACTGAAAGCGGACCGCACGGACAGTGCGAAGAGCGTCAACACGTGCACTGGCGCATGACACGCAAGGCGTCGGCGGCGACGAACTGCGTCCGCGGACGGCGCAGTATGAAAGCAGCCTTAGACGTTCATAGTTCGGACTTGCCCTCTTACGTGTTCAATCTTTCGCCAAGGTGTTTCTCCGTTGTACCACGGTCGAGCTCACAAGAAAGGATTCCTGCTTTCTTTTATTCTTTGTGCTTTTTTTTCCTCACAGACCGGTTACCTGACAGCTTTTGTTCCATTTTCGAGTAGAAGGACACATTAATTCGAACGCGACTTCCCATTCGCGTAAGATTACTGACCACATCCTCCTTCACCCGGCCACTTATTGAGGACCTAAATGGAGGTGACCGTACCGTATGTAGGACTGGAGGACGACCGTATTACTACGAACTAAATATTCATCTTCACTCTTCGCCTTGCTTCTTTCGGAGTTTCTTCGACGCCTTCCACGTCTTCGGTGACTGAGCGACTCTCACTTCCTTACATTTCTTGAGATGAAGTCCTCACAAGCTCCCCGTAGCATGACCTTTATTCCTGCACGCTACCCGTTTTGAGGCTTCCACGAAATGCCAATGTCCAGTAGATATTTGAAGGATATCTATCAAAAGAAAACACACCTCTGGGACCACCAAGCATCAACGCCAGCAGTCGATCAGGAATTGAAGGAAGTGGTTGTTTGAATGGTGGCCTGGCAGCTGCTATTTCATCACCTTAAAAATCTATGAATTATTACATAAATACAACATCTTCATTAAGTAAATCAGTGCCTACGTGAGCCTTTAGGCTTAATTTCTAATGACTGAGGATGAGAGTATTAATGGACTCCATCAATAGCTCAGCGTCTTCTGGGAGGGGATCAGTCGATAGCTAGAGAGGGAATTCCAATCACAGAAAAAAAGTCTACCGCTTGTACAAAGAGTTTACCCTCCGATTTAGATTCTCACACGAAATAAACCTCTAGGATCGACATCCCTCCGCAGCAATACATGAAACAGATGCCGATCCTAGGAGATAAGATGTAGTCCAAATTTTCCTCCACAGAGTTTTCCAATTTTCCCCCAGTTTTTGTCT